AGCCCCCTCCCCACTTCCAAACCAGGAGAAAAAGAAGTTATACTCTGATGAATATTAGAACTGGCACCAACATTCATGCTAGTTGCCCTGATGTGCAACGGAAAGTTCATTTTACAATAGTCAGAAATATTCTTATGCACTAGCCCCAAAGAATTCAGCTTCTGAAAAGAGTTTGTTTTGTTTTGAAAAAAAAAAAAAAAAAATCCCATCAGGTATGACGTGGGCAGCGTCTAGAAGGCGCAGGAATGTCCAACACTCTACGTCGATCTTCATATTCATCAGTGTCTGTGGAATCTTCATCTTCATCCACTGCATATTCATTATGATTTGTTTCCTAATACAAAATACATCCGTATTAAAATATCTCATTCCAGCTAGTTATAAGAAAGCACTGCCAATTACCTAGAAACATCTGAAGTTTGCATTATCACATCAATCCCCTGGAGCTGACATTATATTCTACATCCTAAAACCGGCTCCTTACAATTACAAAGTTTAATTTGCATTAGAGATCATTTTGCCAAACTGCTTGACCTTTAACTCAGTAAATATCCATTAGCCTTCTTTATTTGATACGTATAATTATGCAAAGCCACAATTCAGTATCTCGGCTGTACCAGCTGTCTTGGCAGCTTACGCTGTCTTTTACTAAAAGTAGTTTAAAAACAAAGGGTCATTACTACCCTTAAAATAGAGGTAGAGCAAAAGAGAAAAATTATTTTACAGTCAACTGAATGGAAGGAAGTTACAACTTCCACAAATGTGAGCAAGAGTTAAGAGATGCCATTTTCTGTTAGAAGCACGACATCTGCTGGCGCTTCCTGTGGGAGATACTGGTAACAAGGGTCTCATATCCCTGAAAAACCTGAGGAAGTGTGCAAGTAGACATCTACCCCCGGGGAAAGACGCAGTGCTTGCACAAAGACTTCCACATTCTGGCTGAAACAGTCACTAAATGAGGGCTATGCTAGTGATAAAATAAAGCATTCTTCCCTAAACATGCCAAAGCAAAGGGAGAAATTATACAGTTAACCTGCAATGTCAGAACTAAAACTACCTTACAATTAAGAGCAAGCTAAAGCAGATTTGCAAAGTCATTAAGTGACTTTATGAAATGCACTTTCAGTGAGAACTAATGAACATTGTACAGACCACTGTAATTTTTAAATTGTCATTAACTGAACCTTTCTTGCTGAAAAAAGTAGATAACCCTATTATGGCTAAAACAGATGAGTGTGGTCATACCAAGGCAGAATATTTAAAACAACTATGAAATGCAAACAGCTAATGCAGTGCCATGCTTCTAGGTACAAAGAACTCTGAAATATGCCCTGGACAGACAGACATACACACATGTACGTATTTCTGTGCATCCTGAGAGGCAGTTGTGTTCAAACACAGGACAACAAAATGGTCCCATTTTACCTCTGTCGAGACCTCACAGGCCCCTGGTCTGACTGATAAAACTAGGTTTGACCCTGATACCAGAGGTGAAGGCTTGGAAGAAGACCTGAAGCCATGTAGTGTCCTATGAAAGCTGGGGCCGAGGGTCTTGTATTAAACTGGAAGCATGACATGTCAACGCAGTGAGGATACATGGCTTTACCGATGTACAAACTGCCTACGAAGGTTACTACAGTTGCTGGACTGAGTCTTAATTGGTGCATGTTTTGTATGAAATTATCAATATGAACACTGTTCAGAACTCTAATTTTTGCACCAAGAATTGTTTTCTTATTGATAAACATTCCAGAAGCTGAAAAGAATTCATAAAGACAGATACTTTTAGATCTTTTTTTTTTTAAGAAATTATTCTGAAAAAGCAATTTTAAAGAAAAGATTCAAAACTGAAAAATGAAATGACGGTGAAGTTTCAATAAAGTTACACTGTCCTATGAAAATTAATTCAAGTGTTCTCAGAAAACAGGAGGTCAGGGAAAAAAACCCTCAGATAAGCACAACTGCATCTCCGCTTACCATTCGTGCCGTGGACACCTTGAATGTTGGACACACCATATGAAATCTGGGAATTGTGACATTAAAGAATTTGTCCTTGTAGTAGAGGCAATGGAAGGTGTAATACCCCTCCATATATCCAGATGTTGTGGAAAACGTAGTGCAGCTGGTATATTCATAGACTCTCCCTGGACTGATGATTGGAAACTCCCCTGTTGGTAAAATATGAGGTCACAAGAGTAAGAACTGAAGTAGAACTACAATTTAGCAGTTTGCTGAAGCACTTGCACTCCATAACGTACTCAGATCATTTTATATTCCAGTGGATGCATAAATGATTCTCAGCAACTACTGGTGTTAAAAACCTGAGTGTTTAACTACGAAGATGTTCAGACAACCCTTGCAAAAAGAACTTTAAAGACAAAACAGACGGATACACATCCCTTTCTTTCAAGCAACAAAATGATTTTGATACAAACTACAAGTATTACCCCCTGTCACCCTGAGAAACAGCTACTAACAGCTTTCATAACATGTACATTAAATACAAAACCGTTCTATTGAGTTTGTAAAGGCCATCTTTTACTTACCAACTACTCCAGGACCCTGAACTTCTTCTACAGCACCTTTGGCATTTGTTATTTTCCAGTATCGACTGTCCAGCTGACAAGCCTTCTCAGGAAGAGCATCTTTGGACATTTCAATTCTAGGAGGCAAACAGCATACTTCATCGTTATGTAACTACTTTCATATATTTTAAGAAATGCTTTAGTGTCCTTGGGATCTCTCTCAAAATAGACTGGGCAAATGTCCTGGTTTTGGCTAAGATAGAGCTAATTTTTTTTTTTCCCCTTCTTAGTAGCTAGAATAGTGCTGTGGTTTGGATTCAGTATGGGATTTGATATGAGAAGAATGTTGATAACGCACTGTCGTTTTTACCTGTTGCTAAGAAATCGAGAACTTTTTAACTTCCCATGTCCTGCTAGTGCACAGGTACACAAGAAGCTGGGAAGGGAGCACAGCCAGAGCAAGGGACCCAAACTGGCCAGTGGAATATTCCAGATGATGTAACATCATGCTCAGTATATAGAGGAGGGTTGATCAGGAAGCTCACTCCAGCTTCCGGGATTGTGGTTTCAGGATTCTCTGGGACCGCCGGCTGGGAACAGGCTGGGCATCAGACAGCAGGTGGTGAGCAGTCACATTATGTATTACTTGTTTGTATTTTCTATTATTACTATTATTTTTTTTTATTTTATTACAATTATTGTTTTTATCTCAATCTGTAAGTCTCCTTACCCTCCAATTCTCTCACCCATTCCCCAGGATGGGGATGGGTGAGCGAGCAGCTGTGTGGTGTTTGGATGCTGGTCAGGTTTAAACCACAACAGCAAAAAACCCCACTAAAGGTAAAGTATACAGAATCAGTTATCGGGCTCCACCTCCCTGCCTCTGCATCACTATCTATTATTATTTACTCCTTTCCAAATCAGAAGAGCTACTTGTAACTTCTTTCCCCCACCCATCACTGTATTTACCCGTTACCAAAGTATTTTTTAAATTATAAAGTACAGCATGGTGTGCACATCCTATTCATTTTAGGATGTTTTTGAGTGCTGTGCATAAATTTGCAACAACGGGTGTTTTGGACATTACATAGGTCCTTCCTGTGTTACAAGACTTAATTCAGTTGTTATTTTTACCTGATTCTGTAAGTGAAGAAATAATGCGGTGGATGTACAGAACTGAGCTCAGGTAGAAAAGATGTGGACACAGAAACAGTGATATCTCCTGTGGTAGCAACACATTCTTTATCATGCACATACCTACAGAAAGGAAAACATTTAACTCCGCAAATAACTGTACACTCAGCAGAGAAAACTAAAGATGTAAAGTGATTAGTTAATTACTAATAAGAACACTATGGTGTTAGGTTAAAACTAATTCTTAACTTCATTTGGCAATGAAATTAAGGATGTAGGTATGCCGTGTCTTCAGGATGTGTGCTTCCCCATAACCTAAACTCACAGAGCTGTGGATCTCTTTCTACCTCCGTTAACGTTTGTATTAAGCTAGATGTATAATTTGATCCAAAGTCAATGAAGACCCACTTGTTTAATAAGGATGTGTCATTATGCTGTTTAAAAAACACAAACTAGGAACTCCTAGAGCAAATTAATTTACAGATCAGGAACTTGGTTCTATAGCATCCCAGTTTTACAGAATTAAGGTTATGACTTATATTTAGAAGAAATTAAAGTGTATGAAGATTTAAACATCCGAACAAGTCCTATTTATTTTGGAAACCAGTTCACTGAAAAAAATTGCTTTTTTAATAACTCAAAACAGTCCTGCAGCAGCAGCACACTCATGGCAAGCAGAATAAATATTATGCCGTTAGCTAAACTTCACATCAGTTATAAAGCAAAATTCTGGTCCCATTAATGCAAAGTTACAAACTCTGAATCTTCTGGTTAAAAAAAAAAGTTTCTTTAAGCATTCTGTTTTACAGCTTTATCTTCAGTAAGTTTCACAAGCTTTCTCCTCTCCACCAGCAGCTTTTGTATCAGATACCCATAACTACTTGGAAAGGGGTCAGCATTCTAAAAGAAGTATCAAAACCTTGCAGTGAGGTTATAAATCCCAGACACAATACCTGAAAATCTGGTCTCTGATGATAGGATAACCACCAGTAACAACTTTGTTTACATAGGATGTAAACCATTCCAAGTAAGATGTACCTAAATGCCAAAGAAGAAAAGTATTCATAAGGACAGGCAAATTTACCATTCAGCACATTACAATAAACACTACCAAAGAGACAGTTTAAAGCTTTGAATATTTTTTAATAAACTCTCAGACTTACTTATATGAGTCAGTCAATATTCCAGTCCATTCTACCAACAAAGACCATTTGGAGAAACCAACCAACCAAGAACTAAGAGTTATTGACACAGCAAACAAAGAATCTCTTAGTTAAGTATTTCACTTTATAATCATGGTCTTCAAATGCTGGTGTCTCTCATCATCTGGTTTCTTGTTCATGACTGTCCTGCTGTGACTGAGAAAGAAAACAATATAGTGGCCTATACTATTTGTATAGCTATTCCCAGCTGTTCTACCTACAAGAGGCATGCAAGCCTGCTGGTGGATTTATGGACTTTGTTTTGAGATCCAGGTTTCCATATGAATAGTTTCCATATGTAGAATTTCCCTCTCCTTCAAACTGGGGATAAGTCACAGACACACACTCCATGCTCCTGCTACAAACCCAGAAGACTAAGGCTGTATGTGTGTCATTCCAAAGAATTTGGGATTTTCATACACTTACAGCTATTGTCTGAGAATAGCTTTTCATACACCTACAGCCATTATTTAGGAACAGCTTGATTTCTAAGTAGACAGTCAAGCTGTCACATTTAACTCTCAAAGAAGAGAGTTTCATACAAGACATACCAGCGCTCCATAAAAGAATTTCTCAGCCATAAATCTTCCAAGCATTGCACTATAGAGTTCAATAGAAAAGTACAGAGTTCTTCAACTATTTGTCAATATTACTGATATAAAACTGGATTTAAGCCTAAATACTAGGAAAACATCATCCTCACCTTCACTGACGTGTTATCAAGTACTACCACTCCTGTTAGATTAAGTGGATTTACTGCTGCTTCCTTAGAGCGAGTGCTGTGTACTGTCCTTTGATCTTTTGGAAGTCTAAGGAACTCCAAGGTTATTATCTTCCTTTCTACCACTAATCCACAAAATGCAAACCTTGTATAAAGTAACTCCAAATGGAGAAAGTGGACCAATTTACACTGCCACCTTCAAAATGACAAGATAAATGCTGTATCTGAAACCTTCCCTCCACTCTGTGATAATCCAAGATTAACCCTTTCAGCCAAGTGGAATACATTTAAATATGATGTCAGATCGCCTCACCGTTGAATCAGTTCCACAGAAGAAGCAACCCTGAGCAGGAATTCCAATTAGCTACAGAGTAACTTTAAAGTATTATGTCATCCTCAGGTGGAAAGAAGCAAGTAACTGAGCTTTTGCTGTATCTTTCCCATGATGGTTCTAAAGCACACAAAGCATTCTGCACTAAGACCTTTGTAAAACAGATGACAGGTTGACTACTTCACACTGAAATCAGTTCATGGAATCAATCAGTACATAAAAAGTTTTCCTAAAATTTGCGTGGCTAAGAGTCTTGACTACCTTCAACTCAAACTAGCAATGGCATAGCATTGCCTAATGTGGTTTCTCATTGTAATATTAATACATGTATCTTAAGAAATGTACAAGGCTAAATTTTAATATTAATCTTGGTGCCATTTATTACACGTCAGCTCTCCCACCAAGTGAAAGGAATTAATTTAGACATAGCCACAGTTACCAGATTCCAGTGGATTAATAAAAAGAAATAATCAAAACACTACTCCAGCCAATGTACATGTCAGACAGATGATCACAACAGATTACTAGATAACCATACAACAATCACACAGTTTTCCCCTCCCTCCTTTATCCTTTGAGCAAAGCAATCAGGCAAATAAAAAAGTCCAGAAAGGTTTTCCTCTGCAAGCTATGTTTATAGTTGAAAATATTTTGTATCCCTTAATGAAATCTAATCAACTTCTATCATGTTTGCAAAAACTACTGGGGGGGAAAGAAAATCCAACAAAAACCTTTCTGTCCACTTGGGTGTTGTATTTAATAACTGTTTATATCACCTCTGTGATGGCTAACTTAAAGGTTTTGCTCACCCTGTTAGACAGGTTAGGACACTTGATTTGTATACCAGACACACAGAAGGACAAGCTGTAATAAGAGAAAACATCTCATTTCAAGTAACCACTGATGTTTTGAAGTGGGTCACTGTCTTACAAGTAGCACAGAAAATTTAGAATGCTTGCTTTGTTCAAGTCACACCGACATGCATTTTCTAAACAGTGCACTTAAAACATTTTGCAGAATATTTTATCTAAAGTGCTACCTGTAATGAACATATCAATAGCAGACGGATTGCGAGCCATTTGGTCCTACAAGGGAAAGAAGTTCGTTAGAAGGAGAGCATGAGACTTTCAAGGTTAAAATTCAATATATCTGAAATATAACATAGGAAACTTTCCCTATATTCACTAAATGTAAAACCTGCCTGCTTAATGCATCATTATACTCCCTGTCAGATATTCAAATACATGCCTGTCCCCATGAGTGCTCACATGATCACTGAATACACAGCATGAACATTCCACTAAGGCTCATGCACATAAAATCAGATTTAATGCATCATTAAACAAACAAGGTCCCCAAAAATATTGGCTTAGAAGAGAAGCACAGAACAGCTCAAGTTGGAAGAGACCTCTGGAGATGATCAGTCTAGTCCCTCTGCTTGAGGCAGGGTCAGCTAGAACACGTCGCCCAGGATCATCCCTGGTTGGGTTTTGATTCTCTCCAAGGACAAAGACTACCGCTCCGGGTAGTCTGTTCCAGCGTTCAACCACACTCCCAGTAAAAACATTTTTTGTGTATGTCCAGATTGTTTCCCGTGTTTCAGCTGGTGCCTATTGCCTCTTCTGTCATTGGGCAGGCATCGCTGAGAAAAGTCTAGCTCTGACTTCTTTATGCCCTTCTATCAGTTATTTATAAAAATGGTAAGATTCCTCCAAGCCTTCTCCAGGCTAAACAATCCCAGCTCCTGTAAGACCATGTTCTCCCCTGAAACAAGCAGGCCTGTCCGCAGATGAACCAAAGTAGAAGTAACCTTCCAAGTTCCTGAGCATTATTCAGAAGGTTTAAATACTCAGCATAATACAAAGGGAGATCTTAGCATCCTTCAAGTGATCCATTATCAAGACATTCCCTAGAAATCTCATTGCTACATGCTTTGAAAACAGCCAGGAATTCCACAACAGGATGATGATCCCAATCTTTTTTTTACAAGAAACATCCTTTACTCAACCCGCTATTCTTTTGGCAAGGGGGAGCAGGGAAATCATCAGGGCACGTGTAAGGAGAGAGGGGGCTAAAATCTTGTTAGGTATAATCCTTAAGCTTCACTAGCAACAAAATGCCTATGTAAAAATACTCCAGCTGTAAAAAATATGAAAAATACTCAAATAATGACATTCTATAAAAAGAGCTGTTTAAGAGCAATTTGTTGTTTTACTGGAGAGTAAGTTTTGCTTACAAACCAAGGGGTATAATTAATTGTTGTAAGTTTACATTTAACATATCTGGGGGAGGAGATCTACACAGATGCTGATCTTCCATAACGGAGAAGCTTTTCCTCCTTACAGAAACAGGGACATACCTGCCATAGTTTTAACAAATTGAATTAATACCTTCTGATAAAGATGACTGTCGTCCATCATAATGAACCTATAGAAATTTCTATAGCCATTAGTCACTTCATGTAAATTCCCTTCACTTACTAACCATTCCACTTATGAGCTTTGATGAAAACTTGATGGCAACTCAGGGGCAAGTAACAAACAAATACGATCTCCAAGTATTCACTTTCTGCTACGTAAAATATTTCAGGTATCTGATCACATGCAAAGGGACACCATCAATCATTAGAAAAGTACATTCAGGAGTATAAACATATCTTGCTTACTGGACATTGATAGAAGATCTCATATTTATTTCGTCCCTCCACACTCTCCAGGGCCATGTATTGACTCAGGCCAGTATGAATGCAAAAGGTAAGAGGAAGGCATTGCTTCAGTCCCAGCCTCTGCTGAAAACCGCCAGCCGCTGTGTCAATATCCAACAAGTCTTCGGAGCGGTAGTGGTTCGACAGTGCCATGCTTCCCATCAAACTAAACAGACAACAACAACAACAACAGAGAATATCAACAGGCGATACCACTCACGAGGCAAAGAGAGTTTTAAAAGCTTTTCTGAGTACTGATTCCGTCAATGCTCTAGATGCATATCAGACTTAGATGAAGTCCAAGTCTAATATCCAGGTGCTGAACTAGGTTATTAGTTTGCAACATCAACCTTCACAAGTGGAGGCTTGATGGCTCTAAGATAAACATTTCCTTCTATGTTTTGTGCATCCCAAAACACCATTTTAAATTGTGCTGATGATTCCCATCATGTCTGCAAGTACTTCAAAGAAGCCTTTCATAGTTGATGTAGCTTCCTACAGTAACACAATACAATAATAACCAGTGCTCCATATCTCAAGTTTTGTGCAAGCTCATTTCAATACTATCAAAGCATCCACAATTTTTCAATTAGTACACCAAGCCGCTATAGTAACAGTCGTTGATCCAAACTACAGTGAGCCATGCTTTGGAGAAAAGGCTGAGAAGTAAACAAGCAAAATAACCATTGCATCAGAGAGATTATAATCTCAGTATAAAACGAAGGCATACAGAAACAAGTAAACAGACATGCAAGGAAAGAATGAGACAATCATCAGCATGACACGGCAAGAGCAGCAACCATCTCTAATTTTTTCCTCTAGCTTTTTGTAAGCATCACTCCAAAGGATGGGATTTTTTATTTGTTTGTTTTTGACAGTAATGAAGTGACATTGAACACAGTAAAAGAAGCCTCTCTATAGGTAAGAAAGAATATATACGTTTGGACAAAAGTAGTACTAATCTGAAATACGTAACAGATTAGGAATGGAGCATCGGAAGCTGAAGCCAATGTTGATATGAATGTTGGGCTACATGAGAGCTAGGGTGAAAATAAAAAAACCCAAGCAACTTACACTCAATGTAATAAAGGGGAAAACAATGGAATAATTATAAAAAGGGGTAACATGATCAAATTAAACTACTACAAGGGCACACACTACAGCAGTGCGCTTAGCAATAGGAGGAGTACATAAACCTGTAGTGTACACCTCCCCACCCATACTCCCTCCGAATCTGCCTTTCACTGATACTCTCAGATGTAAACTCTTGCAGATGCCAAGCTTTTACTGGTGTTATGAAAGCAGTGACTCAGGTGCGAGCTGCCACATGTCAGCATGATATATGCTGCTCCCATCTTGGGCAACAGGTTCCATTCCTCTTTTTCCTTATGGAGTCTTGCCTGGAATTAGCAGGTTCTACAGTTTAAAAAGCAATGCTAACATCCAAATGCAGAAACCTGAAGCATCTAAAAACTAGTCCCAAATATCCTCCATTTCTGATCTAACATGCCAACAACTTGCTGCACAGGCTTCCACTACCTATGCCTGACCTTTCCAGTATTCTTCTCCCACAGGAAAGCAGCCTGTCCCCAACAGGAGGACCACACCTTCCACTCACAGCATGGCAGGCAGACTTTCTTGCTCCAGGGTCCCACATGTCAGACCTAACTAATCCTCCAGTCAGTGCTCCACCAACAAGGTTTGTCAACCTGTAAGGCTCAGGCCTTCACTTTGAGGGCATGGCAATGGACCACAGCCCACCGGCAGCTGTTCAAGCTCAAAGGCACGCAGCTGCTCCTTCAGCCCTTCCACACGCACATCATCCCAGTGGAGGCATCGTGGGAGGGAAAAAGTAGTAGGAAGAGCAGGAAGCACACAAGCTGCAGAGCTCCATTTGAAGTCTACAGAACTAGGGCACCTATCTCCTCTCTTAAAAAAAAAAAAAGTCTCTCCTGGAAAAGAAACAGAACTAGGAGTTATCCTTATGGTTGCATAAAACTGTTTCTGCACATTCAACACCAGAATTGGAGAAAGCTGCACCTTCTTTCCTGTGTGGTGAAGGTTTTGGTAGAGAAACATCAACACATTGCCCCTACAGACACTCTTCATCTTTTTCTAATGTTTGCAGCACTTCATCAAGTGCTGACCTGCTAACTTTTTCTATAGCTGGAAGACAGGAAATCATGTTTGTCATTTGCCTTCTAACCTTGATGTAGAAGGAGTTTTTAATTGCTGAAGCCGCATAAAAATTTTAACAACTTCTACTGAGAAAAGTTGATTTGCAGAACTGACATTTTGATTCTACTTAAAATGACTACCTGGTTTGAAAGTTATTCCCTAACAATTTTAAAGAAAAGAGTTATTAAATAATGAAGCCTGAAGAGTGCAAGAGGCTAATTTCCTTATGTAATACAAAGCAAAACTTCAGGGGAGCAACTTGCAGTGCTATGATTAAAAGTCTAACAGTTGGAAGCTTTAGTTATTACCAAAAAAAAAAAAAAGGGGGGGGGGGGGGGATTTATCACTAGGAAAAAGGACTGAAGTTATAAGAGTAATTTGAGTAATTAGAAATCTACACTGTTTTCAATTACTTCTGGGACTAGAAGACAGGCAATTCTAAAAGTGTCACTTCAAGCAGTCACTCAGTTACAATACATATAAACGCTTAATCTATCCTGTTCGGCAGACATTTTATCTTTTTAATAAATGAGCTATCCAAGAAATACAAAAGGAATTAATAACTTGGTATGTAATTTTTGCTCCTTACCCAGGAACAACTAGCTTCTGTCCATTATGAATACGAAAAGAACATCGATAGTCATCAGGGAGTTTGCAACCTATTTGTGCTTCCACAGCATCAAGATCTTCCTCTCGCACACTCTCTGTGTACAAAAAGAAATAGAGTATTAAGTGGCAGTTTTGGAGGGGGAAAATCAAGAACTGCTGCTCCTACAAAACTCAAATTTCATGCTGCTTCACTACTCTGCCCCCAAGTGCCCAGTATGCTGTTCCTGACAAAGGTGAATTAAGAGGATGTGTTAAGACCTCTCCTTTAAAATTTTATTTCACATCATTTCATCTGAGCTGCATGGCTAGAAATAAGGCAAAAAAGAGCTACATTCTAGACATAACAGCATGTTTTCAACTGTCAAAGAGAATTTTAAGTAGCCCCAGAAACTTTAGCATTATGGATTCTTTAAGTTATCACAAAAGGAATATATATTTCAAAGTATATTGCCACTTACAATTCAGGGAAAGTGAACTAAGAGACATACAAAAGCAAGATAAATTCATTTCAACTTTGGGATGTGGCTGTCTACTAGGATGGTCTCAAAAATCTTCCACTCATTAAATTCATGCTAGTGGCCAGAATCACTAAAAATCAAGTATTTCAGATACAAAGCATGGAATCTGTAAGTGCCTCGATCAAATGAACATGGACTCAAGTCAGTATTTGGTGATTTTACTTTATGCTAGTTGGCACAGAATTAATACTACATAAATTAAAAAGGAATTTTAACTGATTACTTAATACAGTACCAATCTCCATCCAGCAAAATCTCAACAGGCCTGACTTGAGCAGAAAGGATTTATAAAGTGAAATGAACCTTTTCCCCACAGTATTGTCATTAGCTGACAAAGTCCCAGTTAAAACTTTTAGGCAATATTGATTTTACTCTTTCATCATTCTTTCAGTTTCCAGTCCAATCAGTAACAAAGAAATGTTGGCTGCAGCCACCATCCACCTGGAATCTGATGCAATAAATGGGTTTTAACAAGGGGATTTTCATATCATCATCAACTGAAGGGGGTGTGGAGTAACTACTCTTACACCTCCGCACACACCTCAGGGGGTTTCCACACCCTCACTTCTAGCAAAGATCAAATGGCTGGCCTGTGTCGTCTGTTTCAATCACAGATTTTTGGGTGATTTTTTTTTTTAAACCCTTTTCATATTCATTATCCATTTCATTTATGTGCCATAATTTAACAATTCATTGAAAGAAGATACTGCACAAACGGTATTAAAAAATTATGGAAGAGCTCCTGCTAAAACCTGCCGTCACTATTCAAGTGTGGAAATTGATAATTTTACATTTATTTCTGTCGACAAAGAAAAGCTTCATTGCACCAAATTCCTTGGGAGCATTTTGAAAGTAAAACTGTGGTAAAATCTGTTCATTTCAACACCTCCAACACAGATACTTTCCATTTTATTGAGGAAATACTTGACTGACAATTCAGTGGTTCTGTATGCCTGAGCAAAGTCTGAGTTTTCAGTAGAGCAGCATGGAAGTTACAGAAATCAAGGCATGGATACTTACATCAAGTACTGTGGCCTGTGTTACAAGAGTTCAAGCTACACATAACCCTTTTGGCTTTTTCCTAAAAAGACATTCCCTCACTAACACTCAGAAGTAACTTTTTATTTTTTTTTAAGAAAACAGTAAGTATTAAATTCTAACCATGTTCTGTTACTCACAAATATTTAGCAAAATCCTGCACTATCCAGCAAGCCAAGAAACATGCAAGATTTATGTAGGAATCACTGTCTATAGCATTCCTGTCTACAGCATGTTAAATCAAACATCGTGGTCTAACAGTCAATTTCATACAGAATACTAAAGTACAGTTGAAAATGTAAAAGCTATTTTGTCCCTAAACCAGAAAAGCCCAAACTTGCTGTATGCTTTGTTCTGTTAAGATTTATGAACCTGAATGCTGGAAATACTTAAAGTATTAAAATACAAACAATCTGAAAAGAGAATCTGGAAAAAAAAAAAGTCAGAATTTTTGTTCAGCCACTGATTTACTTTCATTAGAGGAACACAGTAAGACCTACAGAAGAGAAAAAAAACACACTTCCTTTTCGTTTGGCTTTAGTTTAGAATGCCTGTTTTTATGTGAAAGTGTTTTAGTTGGGTCTTAAGAAAATCTCACAAATGAAATCACCACAAGTCCCAGATCCTTGAAGTAACAGAATTATTACACTAAAAATAATAAACAAAAATTTCAGTCACAGCAACCAAAGACAAAAGCAGTAAAAGTTTACTCATTTTCTGATTATTCAGAGATAAAGACAGCATACTGGTCACTAGAAAAAAATAATGTCTTCTCTGAAGGGAAATCTTCAGAGAATCTATGGATCATTAGTAACTGGGCAAAAACTATGCCTGTGGTTTGATTTACTCATTTACTGGAGGGGAAGGGAAAGCACATCTACTTGACTTTCAGGACTCTAGCAGCTGAGGTACACACCTAGGATGGAAGCAGTATGAAGCTTAATAACAGAGGGTGTCACATCAGCCAACCTACTAGAGAACGTGGGTATCACACCGTACCTTTCAAAGAACCAATCATCCGAGGACACCGCTGTCCTAAGTATTTCTCTAGGTCATCCCAGGCTTTTTTCAATGTAGCATAGTATCGGATGTATCTTCCGAGGTCAGAGTAGGTACTGATGAAGATGGCTTTCCAGCTCTGATTTCGTTGACTTTTTTCCTCTCTACGTGGAAATTAAGAAAATAAGTTTAAATACCAGCCTAAAAAGCTTGACTTCTAAACCCAAGAAGTTAATACTTGTTATTTGGCAGAAATAGTATGCATAATATTAAGCCAGGAAGACTTTGAGCCACATGAAGCTACATAAACTCAATTATTTCCAGCATGCTTTCAACAGCAACTTGAGAAAGAATTGGAAAACATTTGGGTACTCAGTATCAGGGTAAATCTAGAAATAGTATTCCTTTAAACAGAGTGCTCTCTATTATTAAATCTTAGAAGTGCTGAATAACTAATTCACATCACATTCCACACATACATAGAGGAGGTCTTCAGAAAAAGAAAAACCAAAAAAAAATCCCACATTTTTTACCTACTGCATTAGTTAAACTCCTTTATTCACCCAATAAGAAAGATTAAGAAGCAAACCAGAAAGTTAAATGAGAACTCTGTGCACTGATCTGGAAAGTCAGTTTCTTAAGGAGTTACTGCATATCCAGTTCTCCTTACAGGCACAACAGCAGGCTGTGGGAAGAAGGACTGCTAAAAAAGTGCTGACTAACATCTGACAAAGGATGCTTGCCTCCACACTCTAGCAACCCTTGCATTTTGTGTTAGGATATATTCCAACTCCTCAAGCTCTAATCAGCATGCTCAGTCTAAAAGATTTAGTACAGCTTCCTACACCTAAATAAAAATTTAACAGTTGAGAAGTCTTCATGTCACCTTTAAGATTTCTCTAGCCCTTGACACAACCATCCAGTTGTACCCCTGATAATTACAGCACTCAGAATATTACCTTCCTCCACAGAACATCTGGTATCTGACAAGGTCAAGCTGCAGCTTCTCTTTCAGCCCAGGTATTAGCAGAGCACTTCTCTACCCATTCAAAAAACTTTTTAACACTTGTACATTCATGAAGTTTTTCTGGAAATTAACATTTTTGGTACCTCTAACCTTTCATTGGTTTGAAGCTGGTGAGAAGCTGGTGAATACCTATTCAGTCTTAAGAGTTACTAGAATCAATGTTGACATAAACAGACAGCACTATAACACAAGCCTTATTTTCACAGAAAAAAAAGCTTAAAACAACCATACTTACTCTGAAATAAGCCAGTACTTCTTGCAGTGTCTTTTCCACAATGGATCATGGCTTGATAGCTGATTTAATCTTCGACTTAAATAGCAGCAACTATAAACATAAAATCATTAAATTTGACTGTAAAGAGTAGCAAAATCAACAGGGATAAATACTAACCAGTGTATTACACATTGCATTCTCATGAAATAAACGCAGAGTTTGAAAGTTAGTTGTCCTTTTTAGAGTTGTGCTTACAATGGTTAGAAGCCTTCATTACAGCTGTGTAAGGAGTGAACTACTTTTCTACACACTTTGAGAACTGTCAGCAATTAAGTAATTTTGTAAAGCAGGTCATCCTGTCACCACCGTAAACACTGTCTGAAAGATTCCAGCGTGACTCCACTCCACCAGCGGTAAGCGTTCCAGTAGCACAGGCTAGTTATTATAATTTAAATCCCTTTCTCATTTGGATTGTCAGTCTCTATCTTATTTTTTCCAATGTTTCCATACAAAGAGTATGCTACAGAAACTTATACAGTTTGAGTATTACAAGGTTACTTTCCACTTTAAGTTGTTTAAATAACAAACTTCAGACACTGGAAAAATACAAAGGACAACAGACCTGGAATTAAGTCCCACAAGCTCACTCTAATGAAGATCATATATAAGCTCTTGCCATTCAGTTACAAGTAACACTGCTACTTAGAAAGTTAAAAGAATCATATCCTGCACTATGCAGCACTATTTCAAATGCAGTATTACAAGACCTTTAGGATATAGGTCTAAAACTCTCCTCAGAAATCATTTCAGTTGATCCTGGCTTGATGCAAGGAGACAGAAAAAGCTAACCTATATTCCTGATGCCTGGTAATTTGCTCTTTAAAAGTAGCAATGGAGGTGACATCAGTCTGCTCCCATATTTACTTTTACAGTTATAAAGCCTTTCTGGAATGGATAACTGCTATCAACAGCAAGACATTTATATTTATATGAATAAGAACGTGCAGCAAAGTATCAGCAACGTGCAGAGCAGTAATACAGGGAATGACTGTGTTATTCAAAGATTCACAGAATTTAAAAGAAACGATTGCTTCACTCAAACCTGAACACCAGACAATAAACCTTTCTTCTTCTGTGTTTGAGCTGAATTATCAGTTTCCTTTTAAAAAAAACTGCCCAAAAGATACCACCAATTTAGATGTGGCCACATCACTTCCTCTGGTAGCTTGTTCTAACAGTTAATGTGTGTTCTAATGGCTGTGATTAACATCTAAATACCCCAGATGAGGTTAGCAAACAAGCTTCCAGTTACTGCTTTTGGGGTTTTATTTTGTGTAATTCAGAAATTGTAAGTAAGAGACCAACAGTGTAAATGGACTTAGTTACATACTGAAATAAAGATGCCTCTCAATCTTGTCTTTGATAAGTAAAATCAGCCTAAGTCCAGGGCTGGTGAAAACTTGCACTGAGACTACAAAATTATTTATATTTACCTGTTCAATCATTTTTTTTCCCTCCCCAATATCCATTATAAGTTATTTAAACTAGAAATGTGTAAGTATTTCAAAATCACCCTTAACAAAGTGATTTTCCTGTATGGCCTGCCATTACCCACCCCTCCCACAACACAGACATAAACGCATTCCCTTCAAACCTTGACATCTGGCCATGTAAGAACTTCATTCCTGACATGGGGATTTTTTTTTTTTTTTTTTGAAATATCCCAAAGTCAGGGTCCTTGCAGAAATCTACTATACTGGTGTTTATCAATTTCTGGTAGGAAAGACACCACCGTAGCATCAGTCAAACATGTGGCTTCATACACAATCAAAGATACAATTAAAGCCATTCTCATTAATTACACAGATATTTGGTCACCTGTCCGATTTTCCATTATTTAGAAGCCACCACCAGGCTAACCAACCTGTGGAATACCAGGAAAACTGTAACATTTCCGATGGTCTGAGTATATAGATGTCACTAAAAACAAATGGAAGCAAGCTAGACATTTCCTCAACTGACACTCTGAGAATTACAAACAACCAGTTATGCAAAACTGCATTACTGACCTTATAAATAAGAAACTTACACAGTATTTAATTATCTCTGCACAGCAAAATCCGTCACATTTTGTCAGATACACAACAAAAAAAAAGTAGCACCTCTACCACACCACTACTAAATCATCCCTACTGGACTTGTAACAATTGTTATCATTTCTGCTTACGCTTAATCTCTTTTGCTGTTACCGTAAAAGAATTCTCCCTGATGTCTTTAGCCTTCTTGACTAGTATTTAGGGGGTGGAGGAGAACCAGATAAACCCCATTTTCATAATATTCTATTATATTCATACAGATTCCTCCCTCTTTGATTAAATACCGCGATTTCAATCACTGTCAGCGCTCGTACTCCGCTGGTAAGGTGTCAGCTAAAACCATACTCTCATCCTCACTGTGTGACTCATAACTCTCCAGCCATCCAGTAAAGCGTCCAAGAGGAGCTTGCAACTTTCATTCATGTTTTTTTTTTTTCTGTCTGAAAAACCCGTCCTATTTCATTTCGTTTGGTTTTCCTCAAACAGCAGCTCATTCACATAACAGAATATATTTACTGGCAACAAGACCGCTCTTTGTTTGCCCACAGATACACCACAGTTTCTGAGAGTTACTGAGTTCACAAATTCAGTTATTGGTTCACCTCTAAATTGTAATTTAGCCACAAACGAAACCAATACGGAATGGGGGAGAGAAAGACATTTTACTTTAATAAAATAGCAAAAAAAAAAAAAAAAAAAAAAAAAAAAACCAAAA